AAAAAGAAAAAAGAAAATCAATCACTCATTTGATACAATCAAAAGACCATCATTTTCATGGCTTTTAACATGTCCCAAACAAGTGCTGAAAGCCATTTGCTCCTCAGCTAACAGACTAGTACCCAGGCGACAATCYTTTTTTTCGCTATCCTCGAAGGGGTTGATGGGAAAGAATGGAAATTTTTCCTCGCCYTTCCCTTGATGAACTTGGCACAAGTGAAAAACAAACAAGAGAAACGACTGGCCAGTCTGCACAAGACGAGTTGAGTACTTGGGTTCGTTTAGMTGTACTGTCAACATGGGACGCTCTCTAAGTAATCGTGAAGACTCAAAGAGAGAAGCACGTCACGAAGTAGAATGGCAAAACGAACAAACTCAGTGTTAGGTAGCTTTACCTTTCTAACAGCAAAGGAGAAAGACTTGTCACAGCTATTACAGTTCGTAACATCTTCGTCGACCTCCCATCGACGAGTGCTCATTTGATTATTAACGATCTATATATTGAAGAAACCATATTAACACTTACTATCAAGAATTTGAAAAAATTGAAAAACAAACAAACTGAAAACAGATGGGCTGCCTGTGATAACTATCATTACCTGTAGATTCTGATTTTCTTGAGTTAATTCCATCATGGCAGCTTGCGATTCCTCGAGTTTCTTTTTACCGAGGTTAATTTCTTTTTTCATCTTTTCGACGTTTTCTTCGCTTGTCACACATCTGAAGAAAARTAAAATYAATGRAAATTAAMAAAAATCCAAATGTTGATTCAAAAATACAAATAAKTGGGAAATGGCTGGATTTACAAATGGAAAAATRAATAAGAAAATAATAAATGAACGAACGAATAAATAGAAAATGTGAAGATGCACAAATGAGCGACTGAAACAAACCTTTCTAAGAGTTTTCGTCTTTCATCAATGTTATTTTGAACAGTTGCTTCGAGTACTGAAATAATAATAAGATCAAAACAGTGCTTTAGAGACAGTAATCTTGTGTCCTACTATTTTCAGCTTTAGTTATAATGGACACCTCAACATAGCAATTACGATGTTCGCAAGTAAACGTAATAACAGGGTGTTCGTAATATCGAGGTGTGCGCAAGACGTTTGTGGAGTTTATTCTGAGATACATATACATGTATGTAGATAAAATGTAAGTAGATAGGGAACAGTATGACAATTTAAAAAACAAATGTTCATGTATATAAACACTGTATATAAACACAAACAAATGAGATTATTTATTGCCGGGTTTTTGCGGAAAGAAACTTAAAGATAAATTTAAAACATACCTGCTATTTCTCCCCTCAGTGCATCACTCTTTTTCACTTCTTCGACCAATTTATTCCTTTGTTCTTCTGCTTTCTTTTCGCTCTCAATTGCGAACGCTTGAGCTGCATTTAGATTTTCATTAAGTGAAGATATTTGGATATTTAATCTTGCTTCGAGTTGCTCTTTCCTTTCTTGAATTTCTTTCTTGTCTCTGATCTCGTTGCTCTGTAGAAAAAAGAGCCAAATNTCTTTATAACATAGCTGATTAATTTTATTTTCCACTTTGCAGGGGGAGAAGGTGTTCTACTTTGTTGAGCCGACTCCAGCCAATCTAGAGCAATACCATAAATGGGTGATATCTCCCTGTCAAAGTGAGATGTTCTTTGGTAATATGGTGAACAAGTGTTACAAAGTACACATCAAGCAAGGACAGACTCTCTTCATACCAACAGGTAGCCTACTTATGACTCAAGTTTTGTAAAATGGTAAATTTAACACCATAAAAGTGGTGAAATAACTTACTGACATACATATAAGTTACTTCACCTACTTTTTTACTATGTTATGTAAATTTATCTTTTTACAAAGCTCTGTTCAAGAGAAGAATTTTAAACTTGTCGCTAATTTTTGAACTAAAAATGTGTAAAATCAAGTTGCCACACTTTTGGGTCGTCGCTCGAGTTTTGAAAATTTTATGAAGTCAAGAGTTTGTCAATAGAGAGCTGTTTCGTTAGAAACATCAACGCAGCTCACACTAGTTAACAGCTAGTCCCCACCATTTTGACTATTATAAAATACAAGTCCAAACTGCTGTGTAATCCCACCTTCAAGCTTCCTTACCTCTCTTGAAAAAGGCAAATGGAAAGGTTAAATGACAGGGAGGGGTGAATGGGGGGAGGTTATAATATTGCTATGGTTATTCAAAGCTCAGTTTCATGTTATTGGTTTTGATAGGGTGGATTCATGCAGTGTTTACTCCTGAAGATTCCTTGGTTTTTGGTGGAAATTTTCTTCATTCATTCAACATTGGCCTTCAATTAGAGTATGTTGTTTGATGCATAGCATCAGTTTTTTAAATCATTGTATTAACTGATTATTGTTAAAATGCATGTGATTTTCGGTTCATTTGAAGGGGAAGTAAACTATCAGTAGCAATACTCCAGTTTCGAATTCATAGCGAATAACCGCTGCTTTATTTGACAACAGATTCTCTTGCGCAAAGTTTTTACAAAGTAACACAAAAGAGAGCACAAGAAATTGTCGTTATTACTATAGACTTGAAAATTTTCATTTTCCCCGAGTTGAGATTAAATCCCTGTATTCCCATAAGACCTAAGGCATGAGCAGGGTTAGCCTCAACTCGGAGAAAATGTAGATTCTTAGCGCTCTATTGTATTAACAACATTTTCTCGTGCTTTCTTTTGTCTTTGGTAAGTTCTTTGCGTAATAGAATCTGCTGTCAAGTAAAACAGCGGTTATTCTCTTTGAATTCGAAACACTGGAGTATTTTTAATTATGAATAGTTAATCACTGTTTAAGACAAAGAAATTCATATTTAATGATTTTTAGTGATCATGTTTTAGTATCTATACATTATATGACTTCATGATTAAATTATTTTTGTTAGGATCTATGATTTGGAGTTAAAGTTAAAGACACCAACCAAATTTCAACATCCCTTTTATGAGACTGTGAATTGGTACGNAAACACAAACAAATGAGATTATTTATTGCCGGGTTTTTGCGGAAAGAAACTTAAAGATAAATTTAAAACATACCTGCTATTTCTCCCCTCAGTGCATCACTCTTTTTCACTTCTTCGACCAATTTATTCCTTTGTTCTTCTGCTTTCTTTTCGCTCTCAATTGCGAACGCTTGAGCTGCATTTAGATTTTCATTAAGTGAAGATATTTGGATATTTAATCTTGCTTCGAGTTGCTCTTTTCTTTCTTGAATTTCTTTCTTGTATCTCATCTCGTTGCTCTGTAAAAAAAGAACCACAAATTATAAATCTTTCTTGAAAAACGTTTGGCTTTATTTGGGAATCATCAAGTCTGACAAATATAGTTATTTCACAAAAGGTTGTCCGTTAAAATAGCGAATGTCAATGGTCGAACGTTGATTGCACGACCGAAAGAATGGGTTTTGGTAGTTGAAAGGCAATAATAACTGATTTATGCTGTTAGATGGTCTGTGGTAAACACTGGCTCCATTTAGTCTTCATTTCTATGTAAGGTGAATCCAATGAGTGAAATTTTGTTTATCAAAACAGTGTAACCATAGTCCCTTTCGGTCGGGCAATCTCCCTTCGAGAATCGCCGTTTGCCGTTCTCCCCGACAACGTTTTTTGAAATAGCTGTATATAATTTAAAATGCAAAAAGGACAATGATTTTTTATTTATAAAATATGGTGTTACACTGTGAATCTTGCCAGTAGCCTGAGCATCGATCTCTCTCTGGAAGAGGACTGGGAGAGTATCTCGTAATAATTTAAGGAGAATGACATTTACCAGTTTCGTCTGTAAAGCAGTTTTTTCTTCGTTGAGCACCATTTGTACACGTTTACATACTTCTTTCGTCTCTTGGTGGTCTTCTTGACTCTGTAACAACGAACAGTACAAAATATTGTACATAAAACAACAGCAGAGCAAACACAAAACGACAACAACAATAAGAGCAGCAACAACAGCAACAACAACGACAAGTACGACTGTAACAACAACAACAACAACAACAACAACAGCAACAACAACAACAACGACAAGTACGACTGTAACAACAACAGCAACAACAACAACAACAACAACAACAGCAGCAACAACAACATTAACAACAACAGCACCAACAGCAACAACGACAACAACAACAGCAACAATAACAATAAACATTGAGAACAAAATAATTTGCAGTGACAACTTCATGTCATGGGAGTAATAAAATTATTAGTACCTTAGCAAGATCTTTTTTACTGCTTGTCAATTGGTTTTCAAGCTCAAGTTTCTGTGAAATGAGTAGCTGTTGCTTCTGTTTGCCTTCTTCTGCTTCCTGTACAGCACAAAGGAGAAAGCTGTCATAAACCTGACTCCGCAAAANCTCTAATTTATTGCAATTTGTTTCTTCCAGGACTTTGTAAAACTTCACAAGTTTTTTATTCCTGATGTTGTTCAGCCAGGAAAACTTATCAGGTCACTAAACAAGGAGCTGAAAAAGGCAGAGGTATCTGTCATACTTCATTTTATAGTGATTGGTGTAGCCTGCATATTGGCCCTAAGAGGACTGGTGAAGAACCGAGCGGAGACTGGGTATAACTCTTCCACAATCTCCGCTCGGCCACTCCTCATTCCCCTTATGGCTGATGGGGTGACCTACGTAGCACGCAGTTGATGTAATGTATTCATAAAATGTTTTGTATTCCATTGTTTCTCGTTCTATTGTATTATGTGTTTTGTATTATATCTTTATGAATATATTACATCAACTGAGTGCTATGTAGGCTCTCCCGCTATGAAATAGAGCGGATTTCATATGACTGTGAAAAAGCACGGATCACAACTTCAAGGATTTCAAATGAAAGTAAAGATTTTCCAATGCATCACGGCTACGGCACGGTACGGACACAACACGAACGTACCGTGTTTTTTTGCACAKTCATACGATATCCGCTCTATGTTATGGTTAAATGATGATGATAACAGATATGTATGATGATGATGTATTGATCAATAGAAATCCAGAACATCAAGACCCTCGACACCAAAGATCGATGAAGTCTCAAAGACCCCATCCAAACCCACGCCTTCCGTCACCATAGACGCCGAGAATAAAATAAAAATAAAAAATCTTGGTTTTGATGGTACAAATCGAAAAACGTCCAAAAAAGATCAGAATTCTAATGAAGAGAGACAATATTCTTGTCAAGTTGATGATTCAAAGGCCATTATACGCATAGCCAATCCTGGTGGAATTCAAGGGGATTCCCTGGAAAAYCGTGGGGATTCCCTATCTAAAAGTATGCCCTCTATCAAGTTAAAATTGCCAAAAAGACAAGAGAGCATTGATAAAGCTAATGTGAACGTCAGTGCWTCAGCAGACTCGAGACTCAAACTGGTTTTATCGAATGGGAAGATAGTTAGGTAGGTTATTGTTTGTTTGGTTTTGTTTTGACATGCAATACCAAAAGTCTCCTTCAGGGTTCTCTGCGCCATCTTGAAAGGTAGCCGTGTCTTTGCATCGAACTGAGACGACCGTTGAGCGTGCAATGATAGAAATCTTCTTTTACACCTATAGACAAATATTCACAGGTATCTATCATTACACGCTCAACGGTTGTCTCGATTCAATGTAAAGGCACAGCTGCCTTTCAAGACGTCGCACCTAACCGTGAAGGAGACTATTCAAGGAGACATACACTGTACATGTACACTGAGTATACACAAGCTGCTCCGAGGGAGTTTTGGGCCAGAGAACTAGGTTSCTCCAAACTCCCATAGAACGGCTTGAAACGACTGACAACACCGGCTTTGAGTGAGATAATAGACAATTTTACTTTCTTTTCTCCGTTTTTTTTTCACCCAAGTGATCTCCCTGTAGTCTGGTCTGATATCAACAGTAGCTCTGCTAGATGTATTTCAATTTCAGTGTCTTATAGCAGATAGAAGTTTTTAAACTTTATATTTACGTTGTRAAATGCATTTCAGCAATCCTGAAGAGGATAGCCAGTTTAGTTCTATTGATGAAAGTCTGTACTCTTGTACGCCAACTCATAAAGAACCTTTAAAACTAAAATTATCAAGTAAGTTAAATTGATAATTCTCCACAAATGGTAGAATTAATTCCAATGGTCGATGCAATTATACGCGATCACTTGTTTACTTACTGACTTGCTTGTTTACTTACTAACTTGCTTACACACCTTAACATAGTGGTTACCCGTCCTAAGACGGGAGTAACCACAAAAATATGATGCTGGAATGCTTATTAAAATAATGATTGTTTTCCAGTGAATACCACAGGATTCCCAACATCTCAGGATGATATTCTACCCAATGACAGCGACCTTGACCTGTCTGATGATGACTTRGCATTTAGTATGGGTGGTACGCCACAATTTATCAACACAAGTGGATTGGCGCARACAACTCGTGGATTACAAAGTACTGATAAAGATCCACGATTACCCCAACCAGTTGCACAGCTTGAAAGCACTAGTG